TTGTTAATCTAACTTGTATGCAATACACAGCTAATACAGATGTTCAAATAAAAAAAATTTTACAGAGTATTTAATAATGTAAAAATTACAGGAGTTTCAAATTTAAAATATCTTTTTTGAAGTTATTCTAATCTGACAACAGTTTTGTCTTCAACATATTTTGTTCAAATTAAAACCTTGACTGTTTGTTAATAATCTTAACCACACAATCAGAATCTTCAAACTTCCAACTTGTTTTTAAACCATTCACCACCAGAGGGGGCCACATACTACATGCTACTGAGTATCTTTATTTCTTTGATCTGTTGTCACAAGATTCACAGAAAAGAACTGACTGAAACAAGCGGAGAGAGTCATTAATTTTCTATGCAAAATACATAGTTCCTGGTGGGTTTCATTGCAACACTGGTGGTATTTTTAAAATTTTAGTTTCGTTCATATGTTGTTAGATCCACAAGATGTTTGGAGTGTTAATTGTTTAGAAAAATGTATTTAAAAAGCTGATGTGCAATTTGCAGTATTTTCTGGGTTTATATACTTCACATCATTTGGTTTATATTCAGAAATTTTTCTTTAATTCCAAAAACAAGAGTGTATCAGAACTCAAATGATTCATGATGTTTCTATTTATATGGCCCACACTTTTGAACCAGAAGAAATAAACATATGTAAGCTAGTGAGTTGTATAATGTGAAACTAATGCAGGCCGAAACCACGTGGACAAACTGAATGAAATATGGATTAATCTCTGTACGTGTCAAAATTTCATCGAGATACTTACTGACAAAATCTTTAGATACTTCCGAGCTCTGAGGTACTTCCATTTCCCTGAGAACAGAATAGTTAAAACATAAGGCTGCAAGTCGGAAGAAAAAGCCCTTTACATTTTCTCCTGTTGAAGAAGAATAAAAAGAGAATCTAATTTATAAGGAAAATAAAAACTTTCACAAGAATTCACTTCACTAATATCCTATAGATATGCTACTGCTAACCAGACAGGTTATTTTAATCAGAGTTATCAGAAACAAAGGTACTTTTGAAAAGAAACAAAAATCTTGTCCTACTTTTGTATTCTTGCTATTGAAAAAACATTTCTTGCATAAATAAATTAAACTGTTATTAACTCTTGGTTTGAAAGAAATGAATTTCAATTGTCTTTCTTAAAAACTCATTAACAAAATAATACCAACACAATCTACTTATCTTACTTACACCCATAAATACTGTCTCAACACAACTTACCATTTACTCTGTATAATAATAATAATAACAGATGATGCTAAATTTCTTTTTAATATTTAAGTTACATTCAAATGTTGAGTAATTCTGCATTGTATTAAGTATAGTTCTTAACATCCAAACCTTCGGCGTGCGTGCGTGCGTGCGTGC